AAAAAAAAAAAAAAAAGGAAAGGAAAAAAGAAAAAGGAGGAAAATAAAACGGTTCTTTCCAAAAGAAAATGCATTTTTATCTTGGCAGGGAGTGTTTTTTCTTTCTTTTCTTTTCCTCCTAGGTCACATTAATTCCTATGCAATTACAATTATCATGGAATATTGTTTGGCAATATATAGTCCCACACCACCCCTCCCAATTTTTCATTCCCTGTTATACCTCCATTCCACCCAGTGACTTGATTCCAGGTTTAAATTAAATTTGTTAGCTAAATTCTTGGCAAGCTTTACATGCCTCAAACATTACCTTAACCTACAAAATACATACAAAGCTGCATACGGAGCATGGGAACCACAAACAAAACCAAACAAAAATAAACAAAGAGAAAACCCAGTCTTTGAAACTGGGTATACTTGCCAAAAACAATCAGCACAATTTTTTGAAGTAAAAAATAATTTGTTTATCTAGTTGATGTGCTTGCTAATTTGTAAAGTTTAATAATTATCTTCTTACATTTGCACTAGTTAGCAAGGTGCTACTCCAACAAGAAAAAGACAGTGCCTGACCTCAAATATTCTATTGAAACAAAGCATTTCTACTTGGAAGATTTTGTTCAAAGTGTTTCTTTATCCCATAACAACAGTATCAGATTTTGCAATTTTAAGTATTTAATAAGGATAAGAAAACAAGGGGAAAAATACTATCTTAAAATAGACATAAATGCTACAGATTTATAGGAATTATTATAGAAGCCAGGCAAATGGATTCTTCTGTGTACAACAAATTCACTTCATTCACTGTAAGATACAGAACTTTCATTCATATTAAATTTTTAATCAACACAACTATTATTAGAAGAGTAAAGACCTATATGCCAATTTAGAATTTAAAGCTGAAAGTATTTTATTTCTTCTCTGAACAAATCCCTAAGCTAACAAGGTTAACCTTTCCGCGCTAAGTACAGTGGCGTACACACAACAGATAATAAGTGGTTTTTGACAGATCTAACCGATACCCGTAGTAAATATAAACTACAGAGGGACAGATAAAAATCACTATTTTATTAAAGCCGATTATTCAGGTATGTTAATAATTGTCACTTAAGTTGAAAATGAGGGAAAAAAAATGTTTACACATAACAGAATTCTCGACCTCTAAAACTAAAATTTAGGTATTTCATTTAATGTAAAATGCATATTAACACTCCAGAGTAACAAATTTATCATCTGTTTACTTAAAGATTATACAGGCTGACTGCAAGTGATCTAAAAATGATGCTGTGTTTGCATATCAGTTTTCTCCACACCAAAGAACAAGTCTAGCCAACACCACCATATGGCAAAGTCTCATCAACAAATATAAGGCAAGTTACTTTGTCTTTAGCATCAGAAAGTAAATGGGAAAATTGTTTTGTGATTACTCTTTTTACACAGATACCCCCATATAAACTTGACCTTTGCTGGTCTTAATCAAAGGGAAATAGGCAAGCTCAGCAGGTTCACAAAAAGAGCTGTGGGTCAGTTTGTATGTTTAACACAACTCATGGCGCCCAAGAAACCCTGTAATAACTTATCTGGTTAGCTATAAAAATTCTAAAGAAGTAAATCAAATATGTAATGGCAGATGAGAGGTAAGTAAGCAATTTAGCTATCTTTAAGCTATATTGCTTTTAAAATAAAAAGTTAGGAAAAAATAAGTTTATTGAACTTTCTTTAACCTTACTCTAGCAACATCTTCCCTTACATCTTTTCTATTATTTTTTACCTTTTATCAATTTACCATCCTTTCTTCCTTTCCTTTCTTCAAAATCCTGATCCAGATGTTAATCTTGAATTTGCTGATCTGGCTACTATTTCAAACAAATTTCTAAATCTTTGTAAATAGTATCTCCTTCCTATCTTGCCTATTTTTTCCAGATTGTGCCAAGTTCACATAAAATCCTTTCCTGCTGAACTACCTGCCTAACTCCTTTTAGAAAGACTTCCTAAATTAGCATCATATAAATCCCATCTACTTCTCAAAATCTCTGATAATCTTTGGTAGCTATTGAGCTTACCAGGCAAAGCAGAGAGCAATTGTCATACTCCATAGACCCAAAAGGGGGACTGAGGGGAGGGGAATTTGTTAAATAATGTATTAATAAATAGGTCTGTTAATAAGAAGTTTCTATCCAAATAAACCAGCAAATTCTTACTCTCCCTTTTATTGTGTATTTCCCATTTGACAGAATGTCACATCAGTAGACTTCAATTACTTGAGTATAAACATCTACGTTTAAGTGTCCGTACTTTAGTAAAACTTTTTCAGATGGCTTTAGTGACTACTAATTAATTAAAGATTGATACCCCTCTTTCAGCCTTCTCCACAAAGTCAAGCAAACAAAAACCCAAAACCCTCAACACCGAATGAAACTTTGTCCCTGGGAAGACAATATTTACTATCCTATTATTTCCTCTTTTTGGTTTAGTGATTTACCTTGCAGTTCCGCACAACTGAAAAAGTGACTGAAGCACTAAAATCTGTTTTTAATAGAGGGTGGGAACATGTTAACTGGATGTGTTCAGATTTTCCCTATGCTCTTTTGCTGATTCTTACTTCAGTTAACAAAATCCACTAAACTCCACTAGCACATTTAATCCTTATAATAATGCTCTTAAAAGGAACATATGAACATAGTTAGCTAATAATATGTAAATTCAACTACAAAGGTTCTTCCATCAGCCACTCACATTACAACTATCTGAGGGGGATGTCAAAATACTGAGAAGTTCTTGGTAAGTAGCTCTAACTGCCGTGTGGGAAATTTGCTGAGCACTTTACTGGGCTGTTAGTGTACTGACACAGATGATGGGAGGAATGGTCCAAATGGGAGAGACTACAATCAAAGTTTCATTTCTTATTCCTTTAATCTATTTTTAAAAGTTTGTATTAAAATGGCTTATGTATCATTTCTCTCTCTCAGACAAAAAAAAAAAGCAATTTGTAAGATACCTATGTTATAACCTTCTTGAACCAATGTTCTAATAGAAGAGAAGTTCTCCAAGATTGCTCTTGGCCAAGCCAGATGTACACGGAGTGGGGACCACCACTGCAGAGAAGCTGGCAATGGACTGGGATTCTATCATTTGCACTCAGGTAGGTACCTCTGTGATCTTCCTACTTCAGAAAGCAGCTGTTTTTATCTAATGTCATAGAACTTTGAGAGCTGAAGGGGATCTAAGAGATGATTTCAGAAAATGAGGGTAAAGAACTAAATGCCTTGCCCACACACACACACACACACACACACACACACACACACACCAGGGTGACAGACCTAAGGCTACAAGGTAGACTGCCAGTCTTTGTTACTTCCATTGTTCAAAGATGACAAAATTATTTTATGCATATATTCATACTGTGTTCTCAAATGAATTGGAAATCTCTTAAAGGTAAACTACATAATTGGCATTCATTTTGGTTTCTCTTAATTTTTAAGAAGTTTAATAGTTACCCAATAAATTTTGATATTGATAAGAAGGAAGACAGAAAAAATATGCAGAAAGGCTTTCTCTTTCCCAAATTATAAAGCCATTCAAACAAGGGAATCTACCTAGCCACTGGCAATTTAACTTTGTGACTTAAAAGCCCTACATTAAAACCACTGGACTGTAGAATGTGCTTGTGAGCCACAGGTTGTACAAATCTTAATATTCACAATAAAAAATAATTTTTTAAGAAAAAGGAAAAAATTAAATAGTGAGCCAGTCACAAGCTTCTGTAATAGTATATTTTTCCTTCATTTAAATCAATTTAAAGTTTCACATTTTCAAGTAACAACAGCTAAGATTAAGTAATCACTTCCTTATTTGTATAGTCTGTTAATATGTTTTACCAAAAGTACCAGTGCTTTTAAATATTCATTTTCTACTCGAAAAACACAGCTATGTATCATATTAGTTACATGCTAAGTATTTAGAACACAATTGTAAAAAAAGATAACCAAATGTGTGCCAGGTAATAATGTGTATTCAAAATCAGAACTAGCTTCAAAAATTTTAACTTTGCCTTGTAATCGCATTTTAAAATATTTTACGTTTGAATAATTTTAGAGTTACAGAAAATCCATAAAGATAGTACAGAGAAGTCGCATATCTAACTAACTTATCTACCTTTATGTTTCTGTAAAATAAAATGTGATCTGAAAGCAGGTATGAAGATTAGTGAACATAAAGATTTTTTGAAAAAGACATGTTGGATTCAAGATTAATATGGGGGAATGATCACAAAGTATTTCACCTTTTCCCTTTTTGAGTACATACTGAAAGGCAACAAAGTAATAAAGGTATAAATCCATAGCAGTAAAAAAGCAGGAGAAGATTATAATGGACAAGATTCATTTATTCAGCAGAAGACTAAGTTCTCACTATGTACCACATAGGCACTGGCCTACAGTGGTGAACAGCTAGGAGAGAACTACCCATTTTAGTGGATTTTAGATACTATTCAATGCTACCGAGACAGTTAGATGGGAATGTGATGGGAGGGAGGACAGATAATTTGACTACGTGATCATGGAAGTTCTTGCTAAAGAGGTAATATTTTGACTTAAGACCTGAGTGAAGAGACTGGCATGTGAAGACCTCATGTAGGCAGAGATGTGTAAGAGCCTTTCTGGAAGACAGAAAGCAGATGAAATGGCAAAGACGAGGCTGCAGACCACAGCATTATTGCTTAGTAGGGAGCACACGTGTCCTGCACAATCTGGGAAGATTCTCTACTTGGGAATACCAGCTACAGTTTGTGTTTTGAATGGTTGGTCCTCTTCCTCCCACCTTCCTCCACTGCCCTAGGCTAGTAGGTATACAGACAGAGCTTGGGCCAAAGTTGGAGGATTCTTCCCTTAAATAATTGGAATGGCCTCAGAGCAACTGAGTGTTTACAAGTTCCCCCAGTTAATGACAGCTCTCTGCTGGATCACCCCGAAGTTAAATCTGCCAATCTATGAGTCCTGTGATCTATGCACACGAAGTTCTCAAGCAGCTTTTTGTAACCTGATTCTTAAATACAGAGACGATTAAGGATCACAAGCAAGTTGATGAACACTTGCCACATGGACAGGAGAGACTAAGACATATAAATAAAAAGAGTATCTACAACGAAAACACATGGAGGAGCGGGGAGTGTGGGTGGGTGAAATAGGTGAAGGGGATAAAGAAGCACAAAATTTCAATCATAATATAAATTAGTCACGATAATGGAAGTAGAGAGAGAATATAGTCAATAGCTCTGGAACACCACCCTATATTGACAAATAGTAAGTACACTAGTTGGGGTGAGCATTTACAAATGTAGTTAACTACTGAGTCATTATGTTGTACACTTAAAACCAATATAATATTGTATATCAACTAGACTTCAACAAAATATAATAGTAATAAAAAATAAAAATAAAAAGAAGAAAAGAAAGTTGTTCCAGGAGTACAGCCAATTATGAACAATTTTGAAGCACCCTTATCACTGTCCTCACAAATATCTGAGATGCTTTTCTTCCCATAAAACAATATAAGATGTTATGAAAAATAAATAATCAGAGAACAATCAGATTCTTGGAAATAAAAAAGACATAAAGGGAGAAAAACATGAGAAGAAAAGTGGTATAAAGGATCCATACTTCTGCTTCCCCTCAGTTTAGGAAAGAGAACAAAAGAAAACAGATGGGAGGAAATCAAAAGACTAGTACAAGAGAGTTTTTCACAGATACAGGATAGGGGACGTGACCTTCAGATGGACTGTACCTACCGAGTGGCCAGCACATCACAGTTAAATCTAAGGATGCAAAATGCTATTTATTTTCAGAAAGAAACAGCGCCAGATAATCCACCAGTGTAAGAGGGACAGGAGACTTTTCACGAGTAACACTGATGCTAACAGACAATGGAAGCACTTCATCACATTCTGAGGGAAAATTATTCTGTACCTAGAATTTTAAAACCTGACAAACTGTCAAGTATAATAAAGAATTTTTTCAGAAATACAAGAACTAGGAAATATGCCTCTAAGATGGAATGAAGGAAAGGAAGGAGGAAGGAAGCTGCTTGAGAGTATGCTGTTGCAAAATAAGGAACAAAATAATAAAATCCAGAAACAGACCCAACCCGGAGGAATTAAAATAAAGGAAAAGCCAGGGTGAAAACCAATCCAGAACAGAGCAACGCACAGAAGACTTCAGGACAGAGTCATCCAACAAAAGAAAAGTGGGTTCTGGACCATCCTGAAGAACACAGAACGAGGTAAGTAAGCAGTACAGACACGCAATTAAGGAAAAAAGAAAGGCAAACTAATATAAGAAAAAGCTACTTGATAAAACTCAATCAAATAAAATGAAGCAGAATAAAGATGTCTGTAATGGAAAAGTGGTAAAAGGACTATGGTAGCTAAGCACCGAATCCATTATAATATATAATCTAGGTACAAACAACTGTGAAAATATGGTTTACAAACTGAAAATAAATGTAAATATTGACAAAGTCATAGTAGTAATGATGGTAAAAGTGATAATACTAATATGGCTTATAAACTGAGAGGTGGGGGAAGAAGTATAAGAGCGCTGATTTCCTGATTCTATATGATAGGTAATCAATACTATCAAAAATTGAAAAGTGAATTAAAATGTTCTACACTCTTTTTCATAACCTTTTTTCCTTAACTTTAAGAGGATCTTTTAGAATCTATTATATGTTTTGGTGAAAGAAACATTTGTCTGAACTTCAGTGATTTAGAAATATATTACTATGTTTTTCTTTTCCAAGTAAATTTAAAATACTTTTTACTTAGAATGCATAGTATGATCCCATATATTACAATTCTTAAAAAATATCAGTTTCTCTATCAGGGAGAGATACATCCCTAATACTAATGATGATATTTCTTGGCAGTGGAATTTTAGGCTAGCTTTTGCTCTTAGTTTTAAAATTTTCAGTATTTGAATTGATTTAAAAATATAGAGAAATCTGTGCAAAGTCACTTGTAAAATGCCTTGGAATTTTAATTAGTTCTACTCACCAATAGCTTTGGTATAATGTCTCGCTCCAAGAAGTAATTCTGGGGCTCGGTACCAGAATGTTACAACTACTGGATCCAAATCTGCTAAAGGCTTCAAAGGTGAATTAAATAATCGGGCAAAGCCCATATCAGCTGTGAAGAGAAAAAAATGTAATAATGCTAAATAAACAGGTTTTTAATTCATTTAATTGATTATTCCAATTTTACCATTGTTAATTTAAGAAGATATGAAAAATGTGCTCAATTCAAGGGGGAAAAAAACAATAAAACATCTCACCCCTTTCAGAAGTCTAAACATAAAACACAGTTGAGATGCTCACTCATCAAACAGGGTTACAGACAGGCTCTGCTCCCAGAGGTGAAGGGTGACCCACCTCCTCTGGGCAGACTTCTTTCCATCTGTCACCACCACTGGCGACAGTGTTGTTAAACTGCATTTTCATTCTTTGTATTGGTCACAAGCACAGGGAACTAGATTAGTCAGAGGAAGGCTTTCCATTATTTGCATGAGTAAGCCTGTTCATGGGCGTAATCAGAAGCTGACTATACAGCATGCTAACACCAGTATTTCCCCCCACTTATTTGGGTTGAATTTACTAACTTAATTTTAAAGAGTCATTGTATCTTTTTTTTGAGCTGGAAAAATCTTTAAAGGCCATATAATTAAATCACCTCCTTTTTCAAATGAGGAAACTGAGGTTAGAAGAAATCAAGTGATTTGACAAATGTCACAAGTTCCTGTCTCAGAGCTGAAGCCACAGTAAGATACAGTCACGGCATTTAACACAGTGTAATATATAGTGCAGTTATTCAGGCACAATTGTTGATCCCACTAAATTGTAATCTTCTTAAAGGCAAAACTATGCTTTTCCATCTCTCTGTCCCTTTCGGTATCAACTATAGTGTCATTACACACAGCTTTTGCCAAAAACATGTTGAATCAACAATTACTATTCCTACCACCTATTCAGAAATTTCAAGATTGATTCACCATTTGTTTAGTTCTGCTCTCCCACTACACATTTTTAATGAAGTGACCCTAGTATAATCTGCTTAATTAAGGAGGTTAAAAAAAGCAACACAGAAATTTGGCAAAGAATTAAAACCATGAGTCAGACTACTAAATACTGTTTTACAGAAGGATTAATATTTCTTCTTAAATGTGAATGCTTTAAGCTGTTGGCATCCCCTAAACCATCATACAGATTACATAGAGGTATAATTCTAAACTAGATTATTTTAACATATAGATTTTCCCTAAATCTTATAGTAAAAAAAACATCTACAACCAATGCTTGGCTGGGTCTTTTATATTTTGCATGCTTTGAACTTTCATTTGAATTTGATGCCACCAAATTGAATTGGACAAAATCCTTTAAAAGTGTATCTAAGGACTTAGGCATTTGATGACACTGAGGTAAGTACTGGCAGGGCCTGGTTTTCAGAGGAAGTTGATGGCTGGGGGTACTCTAAGGTACAGCCAATGTTCTACTAAAAAATTTGCAAAGTTCATATCATAAAAGAGTATTTCAAAAGCCTAATTAGAAGCAAAAGTGAGATTTGGGGAATTTATAGGGAAGAAGGGTTAGGAACATCTAGGTTTCTTCTTTGTTCACGAAATAGTACAGATCGCTGATAACTCTAATTTGTATTAAATCCTGCAACCAGAAATCACTATTTACTGTGTTATATACTCCCACAATCCTGCTGCCTTTAAATTAATGTAGTTTAGTCGTAACATTTCTTCTACCCACACACAAAACAAACTAAATAAATGTGACAAACACAACTTCGAAATGACAAAGAAAAAAATAACCAGTTAGAATAAATAAATTTAGTTCTATCCTTGGAGGTTATCAGATGATAAATGGATAAATTTTGCTCTGATCTATAAGAAAACAGAGCTGCTATTAGAAAACATGCCAAGGTACAGAATGCTCATTCGTGTTTTAGGCATCAGGCAAAGGCCTCCTGTAAGACAGGCTTGTTAGAGCTCAAGGCTCTGTACCTATCTGGTCTTAGTGGTGTCCCTCCTTTGTGATCCCTGATCTAGGCATCTGCTCTGATCTAATCTAGCTCAGATGAACAGAACTGATGGATTATTACTAGTATGCTGTATGCCCCTGTGACTAAAGGTGAGGCTGGCTTCCAACATGGATAGAAGCTACTCACCTCTATAGGCTGTTTTTAATGAAGGTAAAGGTTTCTAAGAAACTTGCACAGCTTATTTTATAATTAAAACACTTCAGTCTCTAAGGATTGTCTGACACCTTTCAAGAGTGTGAAACACTTTTAATGTATACTCTTTAGAAATGGCTTTGATCATATGGAACTATGTGAATATATGCATATTATTACAGCAAAAATTAGAACTGATATAGCTGCCTATGAAAGTCTTAACAGAGTGCTACTACACTGTGACTTATCAAAGATATAACATACCAATTTTTACTCTTCCTCGCTCAGGACCTTCACCCATAACTAAAATATTAGCAGGTTTCTGTGGAAACAAAATAGTGTTTTTTTTCAGTAGACAGCAGTGGTTTCTTTTAAATAGACAATATGCCAATATAACATAAATTCACTTTTAAAAAAACCTCATTTACTCAAAAAATTAAAATCAAACATAGGAAGTCACCAAAGAAACTTTATGTGTATATATGCAAAGCAATATGCAAATTAATGAAGGTCCAAACATGGCAGTGCTTTTCTCCCTGTAGAGCTAAGTTTTTTCTTAGCTCTTTTATCAGTCTGTTCTCACTACTGTGGGGCATCTAACAGAAAGTTAAAATGTGGGTCCTTTTAATTCTTTCAATAATATAAAATATCCTGCCACTTTAATGGAAAATGAATCTTCAAAGATGATTGAATACTAAGTAACACATTAATTATAAGGAAGGAGCCACCTAGTCCTTTACTTGGAAATGGTAAATATGCATCTGTTTAAACAAAAAAATTATATAGAGAAGTCAATAAAATCTTTCCTAAATGAGTTAAGCAAAATTACAGGCATTTTCCTGACCTGAACAGTTTTGAGGTTTTTATTTTTAAACAAAAAAGGAAGCTAAAATTTAAAGTGAGATTTTATTAAAGTAGTATTTCAAACAGCTTTAAAGTCAATAAAAATACAAAGGATTAACTGTCACCCAAAATCTGTTACAGTGACATTCACTATACCAACAGATAAGGGCTGCCCCCTCTTCAAGAAGGAAGAAGACAGGAAGGAGGAAGAGGCAGGGGAGGGCGAGGCAGGGGGGGAGAGGGCACGAAGGCAGCAGCCCCCAAGTGTCCTGCTGTCCTGTGACCTACCTGACCTGAAATCTTACCACCCTGCTAAGTAAAAGTGAAACTAGATTAGAACGCCTTGTAAATACTGATCAAAGAACCTTAAAATCAAAGATTTCAATGAAGGCTGTTTACAGTGGCAGTCAGGTCGCAGGCTTCCCTCACCTTATCGAGCAAAAGCCGGTATGCAATTACTGACAAGAAGTAACTTGGAGTATATTGTTCTGTCAACGACTACAGATCAAAGTTATTTCTTTATCCCCAGGCAGAAAGAAAAGATATTGCTGGAATGGTAGCACATGCATTTCAGAGGTTAAAAATCCCTACATTTTTTAAGGTGAGGAAACGAGGCATCAGAGAGATTAAATGACTTGTGTTAAGCATAATCAACGAGACTGAAGAAGCAGGAGAATCTACTCCATCTCCCTTCCTAATTTATTACTCTGCAAGTAATTTTACACAGCAAGTTTTAAAATTAATGTGTATTATTGTAATAATAATACTGTTGTATTTAAGAAAAAGTTCCAGAACCTCTACCACCTCACATTCCTGACCTCTGGGGTCAAGGGCTAAGCACCACTGAGAAGCTCCCTGTGAGCTACAGGCAAGGGCTGCCCAGCACAAATAAACCGGCTTTCACGCCCTGTGGGAATCCGTCACCACTGAGTCAGCCTCTGCAGAGACCCTTAGAGCTCAGCCTACTTCAAACCAAAGCCAGACTCGTGTACAATGACGGGAGGCAGAGGAGGCCTTCGCCAGAGCAGTCAAGGAGCACGTCGGTCTGGCTGAGGGGAAAGGACTGCTCTTAGCTCACACCGTGGGCTCAGGAAGGAAGTGTCACGCTCGTGCTGGCACTCTCTTCTCCTGGTTCCTCACGGCAGGACTTCTTAAACATCTTTGGAACACATTCCTTACTCTTTAAACCCATCTTGATTATTTTCAATCAAATCCATCTTCTGCACTGTTGCTAGGATTATCTTTTTAAAACACCATGCTGACCTTGTCACTCCCTTGCTTAAAATCTTCCGTAGTAACAGGGAAAATTATAACAAGAAGTTAGGTGAAAAAAGCAAAACACAAAATTACATACAGACTGTGATTACCTAAATGTGCCGTAAGGACTAGAACAAAGAGAGTAACAGTGGTATGAATGAACCGTTTCAAAAAGTTCTATGAATGATTTTGCTATGCCAATTTTTTATTAGTATTATTAGTATTAAAATATTATCTCAACCTTAATTGGCCCCTCACCACCTGTGATAAAGATCTACAGTCCTAATGATGGGATGGGCAGCACGTGGAAGATCCTTCCCACTCTCTCCAGCCTCTGTCCACCACTCCCCACTGCTCCTGCCACACACGTGCTCTCAGAGGTCTGTGACTAGACTTTTCACAACGGTGTTGGTGCTGTCCCATTATTTCTGTTCCCAAAGCCCTTTCCTCTTTGCTACTTGGCAAAATCTGGTTCTTTTTCCCCCCGTAGTGACCTAAGTAATACAAGAATACATTCTGACTATAAACAATTCACACTATAATGCGCATACTTTATGAAAGTTAAAGGTTAAAAGCTGAAGCCCTTTCCTTGATAATATGGGTGGAATGTTGAACCACTGTTTTGTGTATGTGAAACCATCATAAGACTGTCCATCGATAATACTTTAATTAAAAACAAAAAGTTAAAGCCCTTTCATCACCCATCCGTCACTCCTCCACCACACGCCAAATGCCACTCCCTTGTCCAGAGGTACAAGTTGAAAAATTGGTTTCCTGTGATGGGCTTTTCCAGCACTGGGGTGCTCAGTCCTAAAACATGATCTCCATACCTGGCAAAAAGCACAAGCACACATGGGCATCCCTCTCCTCTTTTTAGTTTAGATGAAGTAGAAAAGATCTCCTTTTTTGCTTTCTTCACATTCAGCAGCTAAGCCCGGATCTGAGCAGCCCTGGATGGCCTGCTACTAAGCAAAGGGGGAAAAACTCCCTCTTGTTCGTTTTATTCTAGACTTAATGGACTGGTCAGCTTCTAAACTTGGGTTTGAGCACTGGTGAGGAGTAAAGTTTCTTTGTTAAGTCAAGGTCTGGCCTAGTACTGGGGTTTGGGATCAAAGCTACAGTTAACTAATTAAAAATTACTTTTCTGGGCAACTCACCACCTATTGAACGTTCTGAAGCAGGTCTTGGGACTAAAGCCATTACCAACAATTTAGGTGAGTTTAAATTTAGCTTGGGCATGCTATATAATCATAAACAAGAGAAAATAGTGTTAAGTATTGTTTTAATAATGCTCTTTATAAACAACGGCTCCCTCCTCCCGTTATTTTCCGTGGGAGTATTCCATATGCCCCAGGGCACGATCTACTGATTCAGTAGACAAATATGACATTAAATTTCTTTTGTGAATGCAATCTAATGGAAATCTCAAAGAAAAAGGCAGAAAGGCCCTAAGGATCATGAATACTCTGGTCAGTATTTCTGTTTTGTTGCCTAATCAGTATTAAAGAAGGTTTCAATCGATTTGAGGGATAATTTGTGTTTTAATGCTTAATGTCTTGTTGAACAGAATATTCTATTCTCCAAAAAATGTTTATTTATTTTCTTTCTGTTTTATCTATCAGTAGGAGAATTTGGTAGCAGTTTTTAGCTCTATAGTCAAGATTTCCAAGTATTTGCTAATAATACATGAAATGATTAGTAATAACCGTAACTTTGGTAAATGTCTGTGACCTTTTTATATGCTAGCAAACAATCTTCTAAAAGAATATACAGAAATTTGCTGGTAATATTTTGATGCATATATTCCATTAAACTATATTTGTTGCTATGGAGATCAGAGGTCCAATATGACTTAAAAGTATGTGATGTCATGACAACATCCTCAAGTGCATATAATATGCTATGCACAGAAATTATTTATAATACCCTTTATTGCTTGCTGAACAATGAAATAAAACAATGAAATACTTGTTTGAAGTATACTTATTTCTGTGAAACTTTGATTTCCTTCTCTTGATGTTTTATTTTTCCTAGAAAAAAACTGTTTGTAATAAAAAGAACAAGTCCTTGTTTTATAGTCTCATGGCTTTTCTTCTTGTTTTCTGTGGTTGTGCTTCAAAAAAAAACCTTATTGATATTTCCTAAAGAAAGATGTTTTCATTGTAGAGATAACCATTCTTGTGGAAGCTGTCTATTCTCCAGAATCTGTCATGCTAGGGAACAGCACACTGATAATTTTGGAATACAGCAGGGGTGGCAAATTGGTTTCATTTAAGGAGCCAATTCTGATGGAAATGTAAGGACTGCAGAGAGCTCCATTTTGAGAAAGACAGAGATTGGGCTGATCAGGACATGGCCATTATCAATCTGAGGTACCTGACGTAGGTGTGGAAGTGGAGAATGCTGGCATACTGGTCAAGTAAACAACAAGAACTTTTTATTCTAGGGGTGAAAATGTCCTAGGAGTCTTCATATGTTCACTAATATATCAAGAAAAAAATGGAGACTTGAGTCAACAGGAAAATTTGATTTTTGATAGCTCTATGAATAAAGGAGACTTGTCCACAAGAAATCACTGCCAGTGTTCTTTTCCAAGATTTGTCCAGAATTAATCTTTCACAAATGCTGAAAACAACACAACCTAGAGGCATACACATACATGTGAGATTCAAATATGGGCAATAAAGTTTTTAATAGACATACAGTCGGTAATTTTTAAAAAATTGTTTTAATGAAGTCTTCTAAGGAGTTAAGTTACAAATAGAAATCTGGGAATCCACTGAATGACATCTGGCAGACGTCTTTATAATAGTTTTCATTTTTTCTTTAGAGCTATCAATGTATTCTTTTTTACCTCTATACTAAATTTTACTCCAGTATTGCTGTTGAATACCTTTAAACTAAAGGAAAAATTATCAAATTCTAGTAAAGTTGTTTCTTGCCTTTTGTATAAATTTGAGTAAGATGTACAGAATTCTTAACAAATTCTATCTGCTTCCTGATAAGAACATGAATGCTAATTGTAAAACCTAACTTCACTCTCCACAGTAAGCAGTTCACTCGTGCACTGATTGACTTAGGAGGCACTAAGGGACTAGAGTTCAACAAACAAACAAATAGTTCCTTCCATCAAAGCTGCCATAGTTTAGTCTGATGGGTGGGGTGAATTCAGCCAAGGAAGAGTTTCACAATGGTGACGATATCTGACCTGACTGAAATGGG